CAAACCATTCTATGATTCTATTCTATGATAATTATTATTTAAAAGGTTATATTAAACTATTGGGCAAGTCTTTAACATTAGTACTTACCATCCTCTGAGAATGTAAACTGTAGCAATGAAGGAATAAGGAAAGACAGCGTGCTCTTTGAATGATTAATTTTTCTACAGCGCTGGCTAAACCAGCCTGCTTCAGCCTGCAATTTAAAAAAAATAGAAATTTATTGAAAGAAAAATCAAAACAAACTCCAAACTAGTAGTTATATTAAAAATGTTGTTAACAGGACAAGTATGAAAACAAGTAAAAATGTAAGTACACACCATTGATTTAATCAAAAGGTATAGAAATAGTATTGAAATAGATCACCATTAAAAGGAAAATTTTACTAAAAAAGGGTGCAGGATGTCACAATTTTAATTTTTTTCTTCAAGTTGACCACAGCTGCATTGCTATTCCTCATATAGTTACTACTTCAAAGACAATGAATCTACACTAAGACGTCAGAGCTGCTGTGCAACCAAGCCATGCAACACAATTATAGAAGAAAAAAAGATGGCAAACCTGACATGTTTTAGAACTCTTAGTGCCTAGGTCCCACAACCATGAAACAATGAAAAGTGCCTGTGTGTAAAATCTATAGTTACCTGGTATGCTACTTCATATAAGCAGCCATCTTTTCCAGCCAAAAAAATACGCCCGTTATCAGTGGAAGTTATTGCCAGAATGTAAGTATTGTCAGTAGGGAGTGAATAGAGAGGGTCTGGTAGCAGCTGCATTCCGCCAGACATACTGTCATTGAGCGATCCAGTACCTTAAATATGTAAATAAATGAATTAATAAAACCTCTTTAGTTTTGAAGTCGTTCTAATAAATATTACAGGCCAGTGATAAGAAGCATTTCAGAAAACAGGAAAAATTACAGCAAATTTCATAATTACTAATCACATTCTGGAATAGCTATTCTCCTAAGTGAGCTGCAGAGTAATAAATCTTCTGGTTTGTGGATTTTTATTTTTTTTTTAATTAAAGCAAATTCTCTAAATTTCCAAGGAAATGCAATGTTTTTCATTTCTAGACATTGTCATCTCTCAATCACAACAAGTCTAAACCACAGATTTCTACTTTTTTTTTTCCCCTTTGACATCAAGATAGTATACAAAGAGAGCAAATCATTGTAATCCTCTCATTTTCTCTGAACAATTCTGTGTTTTCTCTATTAATATATATGGCATAAAAAAAATGGAAACAGCTTCTCAATTTCTGCAGTTGCAATACAAATACCAGCCAGGTTAATGAACTGTATTCACCAGTTCCAAGATTTGTGCCATTTCTTCTCTCCCAACATGCTGTTTAATTAACAGGATTAACTGTTTCAAAAGCCCTTTTTACGTTAAAGAGGTGGATGAAACAATTCAATGCTCCTTTGGGAGTCCAGGACCCAGCAAGTGCACATCCCATAGAAATTATTGTCCCCTGTCTGTAACATGATTTTAAAATTGTCAAGGTGCTTAACACATGGTCTTATTTTGCTTTTTTTTTTTAAATTGTTTGAATGACTACTAATAGAACAGCCATATACACTTACTACTGCACAACTGAGAATGACGGGAGAAGAGAGAATTACCTGCTTGTATATTAGCACAACTGAGCCCTAAAATCACAATATCCACAGGGGTGGCCAGAACAAGTAAGTGTCGTACATGCGGCTGGAAGATACCTAAAGAAAGGGATAAAATAAATTTTTAGTTTGCAGCCAACCTCTCAGATCACAATGATATATCCAATGTATCCAGTGGAAAGACACATTGACAGATTAGAGGCAATAGTCCTATTTAAAACCTAATGATCTCTGAAACTCTAGAATTAGAAAGGAGTATCAATCAGCAGCTCAGCTTCCAGTTCATGAAATACAGAATCTTTAAAATTACATTTTTCTTATAAACTTGCTTCTTTTAAATTCAATCCTATTATCAATTTAACTTTGACTTCAATGTAACGTAAGCAGTAGCTACCAAAAGAACTAAGAGGGCTAGAAACCATGATCTCATGGAAGTTATCACTTGAATGTGTAAATTTATAAGCAGCACAAACGTTAGAGTACAACGTGGCAAAAACCTGCAAGCTTATCAGTGTGAGTGATTGTTAAACTATACGTTATTTTTTGCTTGTAATTAACTTCATAATGTTTCTAAAAATGAAACAAACCCATGTATCTTGTATATACATACATGCACACACAAAACACAGATTTTCACATATGCATATACCAAAAAAAATATATAAAAGGTTCAGTAACTGCCTAATTGTAGTCACTGTCATATATTCCTTACCTCCCTTTGGCTTTACAAGACCAACTGCAAGAATAGTTTCACTAAGGCCATCAAAATAAGCCAAATCTCCCCTGTCAACAAACAAGAAAAAACAATGCATAAAACTTGTGACACAGTATCACATAATAACAAAGTAAATAAAATAAGATTCTGTATATTTAAAAATTAATCCTTAATGTAAGTAAGTATTATTTACTCTAAAGCCATCTACATCTTTTCCCCTTGGCTGAAAGCAGGTCCAGCAGAATGGAATTACAGAGAAGTTTCACAGAAGAACTATATAGGCAATCATGTGAGCTGCTTGGAGCCCCTATAGCTGAGTTTCAAACCTGATACTGCAGTATTTTATATTTTCGTATTTTGTCACTTCATACAGTCTACTCTGAACTACACAATGCAGCATCTGCAATGCTGATGAACACCAAGAGGGAAGAATTTATATGATTCCGCCCCCCGCCATGAAAATTATCTAAAGCAAGAATTCCCAACCTCCTCTCCACCACATTAGGATTACCGCTGTGTGGTGGTGTTTTATTTGGGGAATGTATTTAATACACTGTTACATAATGTAAATGTATGGACAAGAGTTATGTGAGCCACAATCTGAACTTTAATCTTTTTAGGAACTGCAACAATATATAGAAAGCACTTCTTATGGAAAGAATTCTTACTATATAGGCAAATAAAAAAGCAAACCTGCAAATTATAAACAGATCAGTGCTATTTGAATATACAATGAAATTATTTTCAGTTTTATACATCCTTAAAATAAGCTAGGCAAGACAGCTTCAATCACAATACTTTGAAGTACTAATGCTGTATTACTTACTATTGTGGGAATGATTTGCCACTGTACATGCATCAGAGTACTTACTAAATCTACTTAGAAAAGTTAGGCAACTAGTATAATTTTTTCTACTTCTTTGGCACAGGCAAAGCCCTAGCAAAAATACAGCAATAGCTTTAGCACATTAGCTATGTCTAACCCTCAGCAAATGCATTTTCCTTTCTTTCATCTCTAGATGATTTGGCAGCAATATTACTAACTCATAAAAAGCCTTAAACACTTATTATTCAAAGGTTTTAGTAAACCCTAAAAGGAATCAAGATGTTCAACTGAATAGCACACCTCTGTGGTACCAATCTCCCAGTACTGCAATCACTTAATTCCAGTATAATACCAACAAAATATCATTAGGAATGTGTTCTCTACATACCCATCTTCGTAGTTCCACATAAAAATGTCACTGTCGATGGTCAGCCAAGCTCTGCTGATTTCTGGAAATACTCCCATCATACAATTGCACTGCATATCTGAAGCACTGCTGATGTAAGGACTAAATGCATTTTGGCTAGCAAAAGCAAAATTTCCTTTGGAGCATTTAAAAAAAATAGTATTACATTACATATAGTAGGTACACAACTATGTACCATAAACATTCATGCATTATTCATACAGAAACTAATTCCACCAGCAACTCTACACAAATGGACCTGGAAGGAACGTGAACACCACCACAGTTCATTTCTGGGAGCCTGACAGAAATATCAGGGAACAAGATTATGGAAGAAAAAAATTTGTTTCTAATATTATGACTTACACAACCTAACATTATTTTTCACAAGGATACGTCCAAACTGCTCCACTAGCTCTGGGGGGAGTGGGACTCTGCGGACTGAGCTGATCTCTGGAAGATTAGGTATTGACAGCAAACCCGGTCCTTGCAAAGGATAATCCATATCTGACATACCAGAAACAGTAGGGCTACCTGCAATTAAGAACAAAAAAGAAAAAAAAAAGAATTAGACTCCTACAGCGCTCCCCCGTTATGGAGAGATCCCACATCCACAGCTTTCACCTACACACC